GTGTGTGTGTGTGTGTCACTCGTAGACAGTACAGTTTCGCTGAATCACAGCTCTTCATTGCGACTAGACAATCGAATGCTTCAAGCCCGGATTGAAACCCAACCGTTTTGGTTTCAGTCAGAGTTGCTACCACTTAGCACTCGACGGAATGAGTCTGTCAAACCTAGCGTATTGTTTTTTGCAAACGTAAACAAACGCCAAGCAGCCAAAGTGCTCCATTCATTTTACTGAAGAGCTTTGCATTAACGCAGGTGGCTGTTGTTTTTAGAATTAGCTTGTTATTCAATAGTGCTCAATTGAAAATATATTCAAAATTATAAAATATGCATGTTGCAACATCGCTACAAAATTCCAATTTTATTTCAACGCTACTGGTGTCTCATCAAGCGATGGTGGTGATTGCAAAATAAAGGGTTTAAGAATTCAAAAACCAACGTAGGTTAGGGTATGAGGTTTCAAGGTATGGCGAACACAGACTTTTCTTTGAGCTCTTTTCTATTTCTCTTGTGTTTTCGAAGGATGTTCTTTTTTGGGGGGTTGGGTCGGACTGCTCTTCTCCAATTGGTTCTTTCTGCAGCTTGCGTCTACTAATTGACCGGATCGATTTCTGTCCTCAGAAGCCAGGGTTTTAAGAGTTCAAAAACCAACCAAACCTCCCCAGTAGGGGAAATATTTTTAGGTAACCCAATCAGAATACAATATATGGTAATTCAAAACAACGTGACAAGATCCATGAAACCCAGGTTCGAAACTGACCATGGCCGATTTGTAAAGAAGGTGACATCCTGATGTTATCGTCCTGAGGACGTTATCCCAACGTTTGGCACCTTTGGAAAATACCTGAAAACCGGACCATAGATTGATCCAAACTTGTGACGAAAATGTCCATCACTAGCAGTAAGTCAAATAGCGATGACTTTGGATTTCGTTCATTTATGCATGTTTCATTAAAAACGACAGACAAGGTCCTACGATTAAGCTTTTTATTTAATTCAAAAAAGCTTAATATTAGAAACACACACACACACACACACACACACACACACACACACACACACACACACACACATATATATATATATATATATATATGAGAGAGAGAGAGAGAGAGAGAGAGAGAGAGAGGTGCTGCAGAAATCTCTCGCACATAGCGCAGAAACACATCTTACTATCATACCATTTTAGGGGAGGTGTCTTTGGGAGGTATTTCTGTCGCACTATATATATATATATATATATATATATATTAAGCATTACGCCCCGAGCAAGGCGTGGAGTCACTGGGATGCAGGGGGTTACAGAAGATTTGGAGCAAGAGCAGATAGGAGTGATAGAAGAAAGGATGAGGATAGGGATAGTGGGTAGATCAAGGTAACTGGAGATGTCGATTGACGTTACATTTGAATAGTTAGAGATTATAGCTCTCAGGGAAACAGTAATTGGGAAGGGTGTTCCACAGGCGAGAGGTGCGAGGTATGAAGCTATTGGAGTAGAAGAGACGGCTACATTTAAAAGTTTCTACAGTGTAAGGGTGGGAGCGTGATGCCAGCCTCGTAGGGCGCTTGAATTCATGGAGTCTGGGAACCAGTGAAAGCAGCTAATCGGACCAATCACCATGAAAGTATTTGTAGAAAAGACAGAGAGAGGCGACGGCGCGTCTGTGAGAGAGTGATTGTAGACGAGACGCCAGATCAGGGCCAATTATATTACATATCCGTCTCTGGAAGAAGGTGCTCCAGACCATATATGGCAGCAATACTCCATGCAAGGGCGAATGGTTGATTTGTATATTTGAAGTATCGATTTCGTGGAGAAAAATTTCCTGGCGCTGCACAGAGCCAACTTTCCTCGCGGTGGAAGAAGCAATTGACTCAATGTATTTGTTCCATCTCAGGTCAGCAGTCAACGTGAGACCGAGCAGACGCAGGGAGTTCCTCTCAAGAAGTTGACTATCAGACATTCTAATGGTGGGCAGGGAAGGATCTCTATGGTGATTAATATATATATATATATATATATATATATATATATTATATGTGTGGTCGAAAGTGAGACGAAGAATCGTTAATAATATTTTTCATTAATTATTTCATGTTTTCCTCTCATTTCGTACACAAGGGCGTTGTCTGGATAAAATATTCAGAAGTTTAACTAATTTGTGATACCAAGCGTTTTCTACGAGCTTTCCAGATATTTTCTTAGCGAAAATTATTTTAATAGAATCCTGTTTTCCACAATGTTGCAGATTCTACTAGGTTTGAATAGGCCTCAGATTTTGCTGAAATTCTATCTGACTTCTTTCATGTGACGGAATTGTTGTCTGCGTTTCAATTTGACCGCATTCCCCAAAAGTTGCAACCTGATTCCGATTCGCTCGATAAATGCGCTGCTGTACGTGATTCACTTTCTTCCTATCATATAATGGTGATCTTTGTTAAGGACTCAACAAATATGGAGACAGTTGTCTAAAAACTATAAGCTATAACTGTTGTTCCTACAGTGTCTCTATTTCTCTCTCTCTCTCTCTCTCTCTCTCTCTCTCTCTCCCTCTCTCTCTCTGTCTCATGCTCTGGGCCACGTCACTATGAAATAATGGTTCTATTAAGATCATCTGAAAGTAAGCAACGCCAATACTGGTCAGTACCTAGTTGGGTGACCGCTTGAGAATGTAAGCTTGGCTGTGCGGGTGGTGTAATGGATAATGGCTCGGAATTGTTAATCGGAGAGCCGAGTTCAAATTTCCGCTGTATTTGTTATATTTACTTACTTGCAAATATCCCTGGGAAAGATATGACTCCTCCACTTAGCCCCTATTTATGGGTTCATTGGTAAATAAAATTGCATACAAAATATTTAGATTTCGGCATATGCTCCTAAAGAAAAACAACCAACAAATCTCTCTCACTGTTTCTCCCTATCTCTCTCTCTCTCTCTCTCTCTTTCTCTCTCTCTCTCTCTCTATATATATATATATATATATATATACATATATATATATATATATATATATATATATATATATATATATATATATATATATATATATATATATATATATAGAGAGGAGAGAGAGGCACGCAAAGATAGATAGATGAAAGATCACCAACTGTCTATTCTCAATCTATAAACATGTTTGACACGCAGACTCAATCTAGAACTTTCTGACCATAGCTCAATTAGATCTCATTCTCATTTGAATATTCATGGAGACTTACCAGACACTATTCGTAACATACTTGTTGACAACACTGATATAATAGCATCGTCTAAATGCAAAAAAAAGGGCTAAAAATAATAGAAGACTTATTAATAAAAAACAAACAAACCAAAACTTAATAATATTAACGTTGAACATGGACATAATATCTTGACCGTGTTTTGAAAAAAAATGAAAACATTTTATAAAACATACATACAACAAACTATTTCTTATTTTAACAGTTAAAATATAATCCTTGAAAATGCTTAAATGTATAGCCGAAAGCGCTCGGATAAAAAGAACATTCGGACAGTTTTTATATAATTTATCATCCGAAAAGAAAAAAAAATAGTAGATAGCATGACAAATTGTATAAAAAACTAAATCAAAGCACCTTATCTGTCGTTTTCAATGAAATGTACGAAAGAAGGATTGCTGCCTAAATTCACACACACACACACACACACATATATATATATATATATATATATATATATATATATATATATATATATATATATAGTCATGTAATAAAGTATATTTCTGTAACCTTACATCAACTTAAAACTACCCCTCGAAAAACTGTATGAAAATAATATTTAAACCATTTTCTTTTATGCTTATAAATGGGACCTGAGTAATCAAAAAATCCCTTCCTTGGTGAAATAAATTATAATCAATGGACTCTTAAGGTTGTCTGTTTTTAATTAAACTTATACGCACACACGCACGCACACACACACACACACACACACACACACACATATATATATATATATATATCAGACTCAGTGTGTTCATATCTATTTTTCTTTCATCGGAATCAACCCAAGCAAGGCTGTAATGTCACAAATGTAAAAATTAGCTACGGGATGTGGAAGAATTACGAACAGAAAGATGAATGATGATCAGAAAGAGGCGAGAGGTGGACAGTAGATAGCGATTGACATTGCATTTAGATTTTTTTTTTAGATTAAAGTTGGATTGAAAAGATGGAGACAAAAGGGAGTTCCAGAAGCAAGAAGTGACCGAGAAGAAACTCTTAGCATAGAATTTGTGGCTACATATAGCCGACTCAACTCTCGAGCGCTTAGCCTTGGAGAGGGTAGAATGGAGATCAACGTCTTTTAGCAGTTTTCAATCTGCTTGTATGAATCGTCTTCAAGAAGAGAGAGCAAGATCTAAAAGGTCAGCCAATCTAACAGTGATCTCACCCTACAATGCTTACTCTTGCTATTTATTCGGCCTCCTTTGTAAATCATGAGCGGGTCTTAAGTGCCACATAAGATTATCGCACAAAATTTCATAACTGAATCAATTAAGTTGTCAGATCCTCATGCGTGGAAACAGACAGGAGAGTCCATTTATATATATATATATATATATATATATATATATATATATATATATATATATATATATATATAGCATGTTGTTAGAGTCTCAGGCGTTGAGACGGGAGAGTCCATACACACACACACACACACACACACACACACACACACACACATATATATATATATATATATATATATATATATATATATTCGTTCTTTGTATGATGATAAACTACATGCGGCATCCAGACATTTGATGTGAAGATTGGGAGTTTTAAGGAGAGTGGAACCACCTCTTATTTGCAGTTGTTCCTAGTTCCACGCTTACCCGGTGTAGTAGCATCTGTTAGGGCCCCAACCATGGGCAAATAATGGAACCAAATCAAAAAATCTAGAATACATTTTTATAGTAAAATTATCAGCAATATATTTTATGATTTACAAAATATATAAAATATATATCTGAATGTATATAATTATATACGAAATATTTTATAGAGGCTGATATGCTGCTAAATAAAATCAAGAAGAAATCCATATATATATATATATATATATATATATATATATGTGTGTGTGTGTGTGTCTGTGTGTGTGTGTATGCCCGTGTGTGTGTATTAAAATAATAAGAAAGAACTTTACAATCCTTATTCTAATAATTCATTTTTATTTTTAAAAACAGTGCTCGATACTGTTGTGGTGTCCTCCCTCTAAATAGTCTATGTTGGACTCTTCCGCCTACTATAAGATTAGTAGGAGAGAAGGAGGAACAGTTGACTAGATTGCTCGGCTTTCAAATTCTCTGCCTCGAGCAGAGAGGAACCCGGACGGAGCTTTGCCGAAGGGCAATCTTTCGTCCGTGGAAACAGACAGGCCTTGAGCCCGTTTATGCGGGTTCTAAGGAAATATTTTTGGCCTAGACTATGGGTTCGGAGAACCCACGGTAAACTCGGTCTTGTTCCACATACATCCCTAGTGGGGCGCTGTTAAATATAACAGTCGAATAGATTGAACGCTGGGTCAACCGACACACACTCACTAGTCGTGTAATACTCTTCTGTTGTACTTACTGTTTAATATATGATATATCTGTATCACTTGTTTTGTTATTACTTTAACCATTTACTTGCTTACAAAAAAAAAACTGTAGAGCATAATATTATAATTTTTTTCTATTTTAAATATATGGTTCCATCGCTACACAGGAATTACCTTGTTTGAAAACAGAAACTAAAATTTTAAATTTAATTATAAAATTAAATTTAAATTCTATAGCTCCGTTCCATTCTCAAGCTATAGATTTTAAATTCAGTTATAAAATTAAATTTCAAATTTATTTTCTGTTTTGAAGCATGGCAATTACCGGGTAGCGACGGAATCATATTTTTGAAATTGAAAATAATTATATACATATTATGAAATGGACAATTATTTTAAGACATTTTTATGTTTATGCTTTCTTTTTATACATACAAATACTTAAGTAAATGTTCTGTTTTATAATAAACAGTATTAGTGACATTTACTGACCTGAATATTGACCGGAGGACGAATATTTTCCATTAAACTTTCTCGGACATTCAGGCCGGTAAATGGTGTTTAATACTGTTTATTATAAAAACATAGCATTTACTTAAATATTTGTATCTATAAACATAAAAAATATATATTATATATATATATATATATATATATATATATATATATATATATATATATATATACTGTTTTAATCCACACATATATATATTTTCAGTCGTATTTTAAGATTATAGTATCTTTTGTTATTTAATATTTATTTTTAAAATGTTTTTTTTCGTTTCTGCTAAATTTTTCATCTCTTTCTTTCACTCCTCTCCTTTTTACCATTTCTTTACAACATAATAATATGTATTTTTCTCGGTCATAAAGCGTGTCTGAATTTACTTCTGCATAATACGTGTAATTTCAGCGAATTCCAATTAGTCACAGTCAATGTATTTAAAAACATATTCTGTTGGCTTGTCTCGCTTGTACGCTTCCTTATTTTCTGATGATTATTTCACTTTTATTTCAATATTTTTTTTTCCTTTTTTTTGTTTGTTTTTTTTTGTTTGTTTAGAAATTCTTCCATCTTATTTATTGATAAAAAGTCTTTTCTCTTTAAGCCGTCTCTGGTTCAAATGTGAAAAACAAGCAAAAAGAAACATGTCCCGATTCTTGAGCGGTTTATTTTCCGTTTTTAAGGTTAAGTCATTTTACAGCTGTGCAATTTAGAAAAACAACAACACACACACACATATATATATATATATATATATATATATATATATATATATATATATATAGATAGATAGATAGATAGATAGATAGCAGATAGTGGGTTCTAACAGTCACATCTAATTTACATGGAAGGTAATGTTGGGGAATGATTGTTCCACGGAACATTTAGGGAACTGTTGAGGTCAACAAGCTGACATCTTAGAGCCCCCCACCTTTACTTTATCAGCCTCGGTAGCATTAGATAAGTGACGTCTTGGAAACAAAAGCCAAAACAAAGAAAGAAAGAAAGAAAGAAAGAAAGAAAGAAAGAAAGATCGATGACTATCCCGTTCGTCATAAGCGGTGGTTTTGAAAACAGTAAGAGAGTTCGATTCTTACTGGTTCGTAACATCTGTAACCTGCAGGCAGCTTTGTGAAGAATTCCTGACAGGGTGATCTGCCCAGAAGTGGAAGAAGAATGAATATTAAGAAAGAAAGAAAGACAGAAAAAAGAAAAAATGAAAGAAAAAAGTTGAGAAAGGAAAAGAAGAATCAATCCTAGGAAGGAGAGAAAAAAAAAGAAAACAGTTGTATATAAGAAATCGCAGACAAGGAGGCTTACAAATCGAGAAAAAAAACATAGGTAACACTTATCAGAATACATACATACATACATACATACATACATACATACATACATACATACATACATAGATAGAGTAATAGATAGCGGCTTGGATTGAGAAATCGGAGAGCAGAGTTCGAATTCCAATCGAATCCATTACATTCACTTACGTGCTAATAACCTTGGGAAAGGTGTGAATCCTCTTCTTCTCCCTCCAGCTATGGGTAAATAGCTGGGTTCTATAACCTTGGATGGCAACTGGTCTAGGAGAAGAACAACTCTGAATTCAAAACCTGAGGAGGGTCATTTGGGGACCTTGTGGCACGTAGTGCACTAGGTCTCTGTATTCGGCCCTTCAAAAAGTGTGGATGGTCCTGCACGAAACCTTCACCGCGAAAATCAAATCACATGTGCTGTTGTCGGGCTGTCGGTTTCCTACGGACTGATCTGTTTGACCCTCATACGTCGAATTCGACGGAGAGTCGAGTATATATATATATATATATATATATATATATATATATATATATATATGTATGCATTTAGGCAGAAATCCTTCTTTCATGCACATTTCATTGAATACGACAATCAAGTTGCTTTGATTTAGGTTTTATACAACTTCTCATGTGATCTAATATTTTTTCTTTTCCGATGATAAGTTATAAAAAACTGTACAATTCTTCATTTTAGACTAGCGCTTTCGGCAATACATTTACCCATTTTCAAGGTTGAAATATATTAACTATTAACAAGAAATAGATTGTTATATATATATATATATATATATATATATATATATATATATATATATTATATATATTTTATATGTTTTAAATTTTCATTTTTAAAACACGGATGATTCTCTTCTTGTTCATAGTTGATATAATTAATGTTTTTTTTTGTATTTATTAATAAGGCTTCCATTATTTTTAGCCTTTTTTACATGTAGACGATGCTATTTTACTTGTGTTGTCAACAAATATGTTACGAATGGGGTTCAGAAGGTCTCCATGAGTATTTAAAAGAATTGAGCTATGGTCAGAAAGGTGTAGTGTGAGTCTTCGTGCCGTGTTGTAGTATGGCCTATATAATTGTTTGGTAATTTTGATTGATCAGGAATACAATTCCCCAATAGAGATTTCATAAATTATATTTCTCCTATTTATTACTTTGTAATAAATAATTAATCCATTTTTGTTTATGTTATTGTCTACTGGTGTTCTGCTTCTTTTTTTCTTTCTTTTTAAATATTCTTAATTCTAATTAACATATATTTCTCTCTCTCTCTCTCTCTCTCTCTATATATATATATATATATATATATATATATATATATATATATATATATAAAGGATATAAACGGAAACGTAATCAATCTAACATGATTATCTTTTAGTAAAGAGTCGTCAGAGAGAAAACAGTTTACTTGTCTGTTTACACTCAATATCTGAGAATATCTTACTTATTATAAAACGCAGATTGTGTGTGTGTGTGTGTCTGTAACGTTTATATATTGGATCGAATTTCCTACATTTTTCAACCGATTTCAACAAAACTTCACAGGACTACATAAAATTACCTTGTGGTGGTTCTAACAGCTCCAAAAATGGGAAAAATATAATTATTTTTGCACAAAATCAATTTGAAAACACGATTACGAGACATCGTGAAAATGGAAGGGGGACAACTCACATCAGTTTGTTTGTGTGTGTGGATTACTTTAAATATGGGAGCGGATTTCCTATATTTTTCAGCCGATAAAACAAAACTTCACTTTTTTTTTTTGGCAGGTAGTGTTCCTTATTCTCTTGCACAATTTTTTCTTTATTTTTAACATTCAGAATGCTTTAAAAATTCCATTTACAAGACAGTTATTTATAATAAAATTCTATTCAATCAGTAGACTCATAACGATTGAAAACAATGTTTTTGTTTGCGTTTGGGTTTGACCAATTCGTAAAAATAAAAAAAATAAAAAAAACTAATTAAGACATGCGTGTCCGTCAACCTTAAACAATAATTTAACGATCTCTACTGATTGTACGAATACAAACATCGGAATAAATTCTTTATCTTTAGGGAAAGATAATGAAATCTAAACATACACAAGTCCTAACTAAAAATAATAACTGGAACGGGAAACTACTTTAAATACACATGTTGTCTAATTTTTTTACTGTATTCAATAAGTAAAAATCATAAATTGTAAAACATTATTATTATTACAGAAAGGCTACTAAATGAATAAAATTTGTTAGATCATAATTATTAAACACAAATAAAGTTAATATTTTTTGTATTAGAAACAACGAGTGGAAAATATATTCAAATCAGAATTCTAATTATGAATCACCACAAACAAAATATGCAATTTTTTTTTACTGTATTCAATAAATAAAAATCATAAATTGTAAAACTAAAAGATTACAGAAAGGCTACCTACATTTTTCAACCAATTTCAACAAAACTTCACTTTTTGTTTTTGGCATGTAGTGTTTCTTATTGTCTTGCACACTTTTTTCTTTATTTTTACATTCAGAATGCTATAAAAATTCCATTTACAAGACAATTGTTTATAAAATTATTCTATTCAATCGG